GATCAGATTCAAGTTTTGCAAACTAAACACACAAGCTAATATGCTCTGCTCCAGTGAGCTTAGCAGAGACCACCACCAAATCCTGCAGGACAGCCCAAGAACCAAGTCCATACTTAAATTTATCAACTGCAGTCCATTACTGCCTAATGTTGGTGCAGCCTCAGAAGAGTATGAGGCATAACTAATTACTACAAACAGTGAAATGGTTAATCCATCCAGTGTATGGACTAAGACTATTCAAATGTAAATCTTGAAAAGATTAAGATAGGTATAACCCAGGACTGGTAAAATACACAGGAAGTAAACACATGAATTTGAGTAAAATTGCTTCTCATTTGCACATAAGATAGTAATGCAAACTCTCTAGAAATCTCCATATAGAATTCAAAGTCACTGCCAGCTCCTGCAACACTTTTCATCTCAGGGAATCCGAACAGGAGTTGTTTGGCTGAAAGCGAAGTGAGAGTCAGGGTCTGACATTGTTTACAAACGGTCTCAGTCTGGGGAAATGTGCTTCCAACTAGTGTGTGCAACACAGCTGTCCAGACATTTGCATTCTGGACTAGTCACCAAGATAAATGCAGGGATGTGGTCGGAATTCAGCCCTCACTCCCTGCACAGGGCATACTAGCTGGAACTGGCTTTGCTGCTTGTGTGGAACTCTTGTTTCCCACTGGGCCTCTTTTCACTCCCCTGAAAATACATCTGTTGTACGGGTCAGTCTATGCACAAGGTCTTTCTGTGCTAACCTTTACTACCTTTCAAGGCTAGCAGTGAAAGCTAAGTGAACTTTCTCTAAACCGAGAAGCCAGAGGAAGAAGAGACCGTTCCCTTAATCAGCAGCCGACAACTGACGGGTTGCCTGCAGCGCCCTTTCTTGCATTTTGCAGCAGTCGCTGGCGGCACTTGTTCCCCGTTTGCTCTGGTGCCATTTTATTGTTTACTTGGAAGGACTTATTAACTGTGTGACGGCAGCTAGTCAGGGTTCAGGCATGGGACAATTTTGTTTATTTATTTAGAGTATGTTTATACCACTCTTAACCAACGGAACCCAGGTGAGATACAAACATATGATCAAATAACAATGCAGTTTAATAAAAGGCAATTAAAGTGGTTTCCTGAGGGCAGTTGGTTGACCCCTGTGTGAACCACATGCTGGGACATCGGACCCAGCCTGGGTCTTGCTCTGGCCCTACAGCCCTGCAGCCTTGCCAGGTGTGGCAGGCGCTAACGAGTTGCACCAAAGCAAAATGAGCACAGATCCAGCTGCAAGCCGCCTGCCCACTACTCAGGTTACTAACCAGCCTGCGAATATCCCTTTCACTCTCCCACTTGATCTTCGATATTGCTTCTTGGTGGGACTGGTGCTCACTTCGCAGATCCCCAGCTTTGATCTTATCCGCCTGGATCATGTTGTTAAGGGCCTCATCCACTTGTTTCTTGGCAGACTTTAGCTCAGTGATCTCCTGCAAAAGCTTAAGGCGCTCAGAGTCAAATTGTCTCCTGGCCTCTTCGCGAGCCTCAATAGTCAGGGCTGTCCGTACTTTGTCACTGCTCCCTTCCCGCAATGCATACAGTGCTGACTTGAGCCTCTGGATCTCACTGTCCCTAATTTTCATTGTCCTGGCCATTTCTTGCTCGTGCTGTTTGATGAGGTTTTCCCGCACAGCCTGGAGCTCCTTCATCTTCTCCTCATGCAGCTTTGCTTTCAGTTCAGTGATCTGGACTGTCTGCTTGCGCTGCTCCAGCTCCCGAATCCGCTTCGTTTCTTGGGTTTTCTCCCTTTCAAGTCTACTCACCTAGGAGTAAGAAAAGAAAAAACAGATGATGATGATGATGGTGGTGGTGGTGGTGGTGGAAACACAGAAACTGAGTGAGTCAGAAGGGGTCTCCCGGGCCATCTAGTCTGACCCCCGGCTCCAACCAGCTCTGTTCATGACATTATCATCATCATCATCATCATCATCATCATCATCATGATAACGATGACGATGTGCTTTTACAGCCTTTGGCCACATGGATTCTGCAGTCTTGAAAATGATCACAGAATTTTCCATTGTCGCACAGTGCCAAATTACTGGGGTCAAAGGGGGGGGGCGACAAAAAGCTTATTTACAAATGCAATTAAGCCTTAAGCCGCAAGTTTCCAAACCAAGCTTAGCAGATGCATAACTATGGAATGGCCAGCATTTCACACCGTACTAAAAATGTACAAGGTAACCTTCTGGTGGCCATGCCAGGAAAATTCCACACTGATCGGAATGCTTCTGTTTCATTCATTCTGAATCAGAGACATAAAACTAGAGAGACTTCTGAATTAGCATCATAATATGTTTTCTTTAAATATGACAGGTTTGAGTTGCTAATTCATAAAATCCAGTTCCCTTTAGTTTTCTTTCAGTAAACTAACTTGCACCACTGCCTTAATTTACATAAAATGTCTGTAATGGATAACTTGCCCAATCTTCGGTATGTTTAAATTGTTCACTAAAATTGTTCACTTATTTTATATTGTTATTTTTGTTTATATTTTTAATTTAATGTTATTTATTTTTAACTTATTGTTGTAAGCCGCCCCGAGGCTTCGGCGAATGGGGCGGCATAAAAATGTTTTAATAAATAATAAATAATAATAATAAAAAGTGCTTAAGGCTGCTGCAAAGGGACAGAAGCAATTCCATCAAAAACAGCTTCTTCTGACTCTTCCTAGTTCTGAAGAGTATCTATCAGTTCATCACTATGCTAACTTTAAGAATAGATTTCTAAGTCTACTTGTTTTTTTCTCTCCCCCCACCTCCCTTTTTTATCTTTCGAATCCTGTCTTATAGATTGCCAATAAGGGTCTGTCGTATTTTATACTGATCTGTAAGTTGCCGTGGAAGACTCTTCCACTGAAGAGCAGTGTGAAAATGCTTTATATTACCGAGGAAATAAATGATAAAATAAGAATAGCAATATAGATTATTGCATCCTTCTCCAACCTATGGGTTCAAGACTATGGTCTTACATTCCCATCATCACTGTGGGAATATTATAACTATGTGATAAGCCCTTTGCTTAGTCTAGCTATGCTAGCCTATGAATATTTCCTTTAGATTGTAGTGAAACCTGCTAATGAAATGCTTGAAGTAGGATTTTCCCCTTCAATAAGACCCATGTAAGTATCTTAACACTTGTCCCTGTGACTATTTTCCAGTTCTTGACCTAAAATACAGCAACCCCTTTTTGCAAGAGAAGCTGCTTTCAGCAACCACATGAGGGTGGCATTCAGAAAAAACAAGTGGAAAATGCAGTGAACGAAAAATATAAGGGAACAATTCTGGTTTAATGGTAAAGCTGGGGAATATCAATATACAGTGATGGCTAGGAGAAGGTTTCCATTTAAATACATAATACCTGCTGTGGACGATTTATTTTTCAATGAATACAGTAAAAATAAAAAGACATTTTTAAAATCAAGAGGGGACCCCACCCTCATGGATGCGCCTAATCAATCTTACCTTGTAATTCTCTTGCTGTGGAGAAACCTTGCCAGGCACATGCTTCAAAAGGGGGGAAAGAGAGAAGCGGGAGGAGAGAGCGCGGAGGCAAGGGAAAAACCAGGCATGGACTTCTTTGCAGCGGGGAGAGAGAACCTTAACCAGTTCACGTGATCATTGTGGCTTCGACACATAAGCTGTGGCACATGCCAAATACTATTGGCCAAATGACCTTCCTGGGCAGCATAGCTTGTTTGAGAGGAAAACAACCCTCCAATGACCCATGGCTGGTTGTTGGATTACTTGGGCATTTGTAACATGTGGTTGTGCCTGTATTCCTCCAGGCCATGGCTGGCAATGCAGGTGGGTGAGAAGGCAGAGAAGGTGAGTGAGAAGGGGCGGGCGGGCGATTGCTCTGCTTGACTCCCATGTACGTTCCTGATTCAGCTCCCCTGAATCAAGGGCACCCGGAACCAATGGATGCTGCTCTGCATTGGCAAAATATTGCAGAGTAATTATATGCACAGCAACCTATAACTCTGGACCAATCTCTTTTCCTTCTTTCTTGCTTTTAGAATTGTTTGCCTGCAAGAAGTATCATAAAGATAAAAGATGAAAGATAAAAGTCTGCATTTGTTACTGATTGGGAGCATTTAATCAATGTTTTCCAGTGCAATTGGAGTTGCTTCCAGAAAGAAAGAATGTGAGTCCTTTTGACAGAAAATGTGAGTACTTTTGGATTGCAGGGTGGAGTATATTGTAGTTTTACAGTGAAATTGCTTGCCCCAGTTTCTTTTTGGTGAATGGATTGTTGCTAGAACCAAAAAAGACAGGGCCAGAAGAGTAATTTTGTCCTACTTTGTGGTTCTTTCTCCTACACAGTGTTTTGCTTTGCTTTCCAGGGCTCAGTGTTACTGACAAGCTTTGTTTCAATGACCAGACAAACTACTTTTCTGATACCAGTGGGGCCAACTCCTTCTTCAAGGAGTGGCATGCTTAACTGGAGGACCAGTATGGCTCTATGGGGTGATACAAGCTGTACTATTTCTCCACCAGTTCAGAGCCAAGTGAGATGCCACCCAACCCTTCTGAATCAAGGTAAGAGAGTATTCTTACCTTGCTAGATATTAGGTAATCGGTAATCGTAATGCATTGCTTAAGTGCCCTCTGGGCCTTTGCAAGAGAGGAGGATGAGGAGCAAATGAGTCCTAGTCGGCTCCATCTCCCATTAGCTGCCCAAAACAGTATTGATTTCCTCCCACTCAAAATTATTTTCTGATGTTAAAATGGATTGCAAATTGATAGCTATGAATCTCACTACAGGGTGAGGGGATAAACCCTCCAGAGTACATTCTCCTCTTAGATAATAATGTAGCAGAGAACTTTCTTTCATCCCGATTACCTTACAATGAACCAAACTGATTTCCACAGAATGGGTTGATTGTCCTCTGAGGTTAATGGTAACCTTGATGGATGGACGACCCAGAAAGGTTTTCAAGTTGAAAGATTTGTTTTGCCTGAGGCAGGGCTGACTAGAGATAGCACCACAGAGTCTGGCTCAGAGATGCCAGTTATAGCTCTTTGGATGACAATAATGATGATGAGGATGATGATGATGATGATATCATCACAAATGTTTGAGAAGTTGCATGACATTTCAGGAAACTTTATGGAATTGCTACCATGACTGTCTGGGATGCAAAATCAAAACCAGGAGACCCAGTTGCAATTCAGTGGCATACTACATATGAAAGGAAGGTGTGAGGCACAGAGAACCCTCAGAGGCCTAGAACTGAAGGGCAGGGAAGAGAATTCAGAAGCAAACCTGTTCTGGCCACACTGGGTCGCTGCCAGTTCCCCCCACCCACCCACCCATTGCCACTGTGGGGCATGAGGGCAGTCTGGAAGAGGAACTGTGCTTGGGTTGGTGTACAGTCATCTTTCTTTCACACCCAGTAAATAGGATGTTCACATTCTTGTACAGTTTCACTACCCTGTGAAACCTGTTGAAACACGAGTGATAGTGCTGCTTTTCTTGAACCAGTTTCAACTCTCTTAAAAATAGGCACATTCTGCTCTGTCCAGCGACAAGGAAAAGAGAATCTGAGCCCTCTCCACCTGGGGCTTCAGCACTGAGATCTGAGCACTACACAGACCCCGCTGTCTTTCCTGATGTTCTGCCTCAGAACCTCTAGGCAGAACTGTGGACAGTGTGGAATAAATAACACACATGCACAAGTGAAAAAAACATTTTCATTCACTTTTACAAATAAATACTGCATATTCCTTGCTCCAAAAAGACTCTCTCAGGGTGCTGTTCAGACACAGAAGCAAAGTTGGAAGATCCTGACTTCTTCTAAAGAACCCCCGAACAACCATGTGTAGGGAATGATGAACTTTGTATAAATCGTAGCCCATAGGCAAGAAATTGGAGTCTGGGAAACACAGTCAATGCAGCTGACATTATTTTAACTTCATTCTGGCATAAGGAAGGAAGGAACCACATGGATATACATTGTAAAACGGATTAATCTTCCTCCAGGGATTAAGGAAGGTACTTGATTAGTGCTAAAGTATTCAAGGACTGTAAGAACTCCTGCCCTTTAATGGCAGGTTATTTTCACTCACCTTGGACTTCTCCTGATGGAGCTCAATTTGAATGTCTGTTAGCTTGGTCCTGAGATCTTCATTGGCAGCTTGTAAGGACATGATCAGTGCCTCCGGCTTTTCAGCCTTGCTGCGTCCTTTTTTTGACATGGCTGTTGGCTACTGTGAGTCTGTGCGTGAGAAGTCTTTTTCAAACAGGAACCGCCATTTTTTATTTCTTTCCATCCAAGTTGTCTGAGCACCTACTGTGTGACATTCCTCAAGGTCCCCTTGTCAAATCCTTGGGCAGCCCTGTGAGCGGGGGGAAATAAGACATGGCACTTGTTAATGAGAGTATTGAGACTAAGAGTCGGCTTGGCAACACACAGCACAGACAATGCTGTGCCCATTTTGCAGGACTGATGATAAAGAGCATCGAAGTCCTGCCATTCTGTTAGCATTTTTGCAAGGACGTTGGTGCTGGTAGTAGAGCCAAAGCATTTTTGTACACCCTGTGCATGAAGATGTAACTTTTCCTCCCTTTCAGATTGTTTGTTGTTAACCAAAAGAATAACTGCCAAGACTCTCCTGGACTCATACTTCCCTCATTATCTGGGGACATGACATAGCATGTAAACAGTACTGGATCCTCAGTACCTCAAATTTAGCACTAACAGAAAAAGCATGGGTTTTATGCCTTGAAAAACACCCTAATTTTCAACAAAGAAGATACATGTTTTCAGCCAGGAGCCCAGTGCTCATATTTGGTGTGCTTGCACTTCTGACGTGCATGCTTTAAACCAAATTCCAACCACACAATAAGCCCATATTCATAGCCTCTGTGGATGAGCCTGCTCTCTATAGGCATGGGATTATCTCCTCAGGAATCAGTTCCATTAGAGCAGGTTTACTCCAGCAAAGGTAGAACCTGAGCATTTCATCCACAGAAACCCAGTTCAACGAGACATGCTTGAGACTTTCCATTGCATGCAAACAGTAGGTAGAAACTTGATTAATGCAATCTTGGTCATTTATTTAATGGCTGCACCATTTGACTCCTCAATTTCTGGTGTGTTTCAGTTAGAATTCCATACATTAATTGTTATATTTTATCAGTTAGTGGTCTGACTACAGATGAAAACCAGACTTGTGACTGGCCACGGATCAGCCACAGTTTGCTCCTATTTTTAGAAACTACAATATATTGTGTTGCTTTGCAACCGTCTAGCTATGCAGCTGAAGGAAAGATGCTTTCTGCCAAGGGATGCGTTAGGCTTCCCTTTTTGCTGGACCGTGTGGTCTCTGTACATTTTTCTGTGAGTTTACTGATCTGGCACAGATGCTTCTAGTCTTGGAGGAGCGGGGTTAACAGGCTTATCCCTGGGAATCTGCTCCATCCTTTAAAGGGATGCAGCTGTGGATTTCTCCTGCACAGTCCAAGTTGTGATCTGGGGAGCCTACGTAGGAGTGGGTTATTAGGATCAAACAAAAGCTGCTCTGGAATGGAAACAGCAGTGTCATGAAAGCCACACCCCCATGGTTGCCTTTGAGCACTCCAAGGTCCGAGTGCTCCTATTTCCAAAGCCCCATCATTTCCAAAGGCTCCTGCCAGCTCTTTAGATCTTGTGCAGTGGCCCTTGCTTTGGAGACTGCCCTCTTCAGAGGTGTGCTTGGCAGTGACTTGAGGAAGGGCCTTTTTGGTGGCTGCTCCCAGGCTGGGGTACCCTGCTGCGAGGGCAGCTATGTTTGCTTTCTGTCCCTCTCCCTCTCTGCTCTCCTTCTGCTGGTAGACAAAGGCTGCTTTATGCAAGAAGGCCTTTGACCTGCAAATGAGTCTGTTGGGTTGGGTGCTACTTATTATTTTTTATTCTGCATTCATTATGCTTTTCTTCTATTTTAATTTTATTGTCCCAATCAAATTTAATTGTGCCTGTGAGTCAACTTTAGTGCCATTTTTGGCAGAGAGGTGGGGTGCAAATCTGTCTGTCTGTCTATCTAAAAAAAATACCCTTTCCCCCTCTTATTGTGAGAAATAGGCTGGTCCAAATGTTTTCCCAAACTGGGGACATGGTTGAGCACCAGGAAGGCTTTGGGGACTTTGGAACCAGAGCCTTCCCTGCTCCACCCAGACCATCCTCCCTCCTTTCCTCCTCTCTGATGCAGAGTTCTGATGTTGGAGTACTGAGACAATGGACCCCTTTCTATTGCATCAGGACAGCGAGCAGGAATCCAAGGTCAGATCTTTGAGGTTGGACCTCCGTCTCTAAACTTGGAAGTGGATTTCCAATCTGCCCTATGCCCCCTGGGAGTTCCTAGGAATGCATGTATCAGCAAAACTCAAGCTCAGTTTAGTTCTCCAAATACCATCTTGTAGTTTGTTCTGAGTCAGGTCCATATAATATTGAAAATTCTATGGGTTTTTCCAATAAAATGTGTGTGTTTTATGTATATTTTTTCCAAATGTATGCAGCAGTTGTGCACATCCTTGAAACATATGCACTCTTTCTCCATTGTTGAAGCATGTTTGTGTAGATTTTTCAAAAGTTCGATGCATTTGGAAAACACATTTTGTTTGGCTTGCAAGTCACATGGCAAACTTGGGAGTATATGGAGTTTAACCACAGATTGCATTTGAGCCCATGTTTAGTCCAGAACGTGCAAAGTGGATACATCTTGATCCAAAATGGACAGAAACCAATTTCTCACACTTCCCAATGATTTGCCTGTCCCTATGGCATGTGCTGGAATGCAGTTCATGAAACATTTATATTTCATCATCAAACCGGGAGTCAAAATATTGGGTCTGTAATAGATTGCTTACAACGGGGGTGGGAAATCTATGTTCTGTGAAGCATTTCTGCTTGGCTTCAGGACTCTTGTTCAAACAAGAACCTTATTATTATTCTGAGACAGCTATAGCACTTGTCAGCTGGAAATATACTGGCAATGAATCTAGAAAGCTCAGAATCAGAAGGTAAATCAAAAGACTTCTCACGTAGGTCCTGTTTTTGAACATTTGGGATTGCAGTGTTTTTTGTTTGAAAAGCTGTTGGAAGACTCAGCTGGAAGGATAGGCCTTGTCACAGTTCCCATACCATCGGCCATCAAAACATCCAATTATGCTAATTAAGTGTGCAAATTAGCAGTGGCCCATCCATTCAGGATAAACTCCAGGGCTGGTTTCACTGAGAGCCCATCCAGGGTGCCTGAAGTATGAATATCAAAGCAGCAGGACCATTACCCAGTCCAATTATTTTCCAGCACTGTAGTCTGAACTGAATCGCTGTGGTGATGGCAACTGATCACCCTTCTACACACGAACTGAAGCAGAGAACAGGTAAAATGCTGCGAAGGGCACGTGTGCAACAGACTCCTTTGGAGGGAATGCAGCCATCCAAGGCAGATGAGATGTGGGGGCGGTGGAGGATTTAGCGCCCTCATGCAAGTCCACTATTGCATCAGGAAGACGTGGATGTGGGGACGGCTGCTCCCCCTGGCTGCAGGTTGCCTTGGCGTTTGGACTCCGCAGAAGTCGTGCCTTTCTGACTGCCAGCCTGCAGCACGAGCGTCGCTCAGTGCGCTGGATGTGCTCTTCTAAGGTCAGTTCACTGTGAGGGAGCAGTGGCCCATGAAAGATGGATGTGTTTGCCTCTGAAATGAGATACCTTGGCTGTTTATGCCTGAGAGCCTAAAGAATGATGATTAAATATATCATTGTGACCCAGATGGAATGTCTCAAATGCGAGCCCAGAGAGGCAATGGGAGGGGGCACCATGACCATGCTTTGCTGCTGAAGAAAATGCCACTTACGGGAAGACACAAGAAAATGGGGATCTGAGGGGGAAGGAATGTGTAATGAGGTGCAGGGAAGCAATTTGGAGACTCCATCAGAAAGCCTTGCTTATTTCCTTTTGATTTATCAGATAGGAAGATTTTCCCCTTCTCTGCAGACAGACATGTTTGGAATCTGTATTTGCTTGCAGATGTATGCAGGCAACTCTGTGACACACGGAACTGGTGAGATAACAAGCTTTAGCAGAAGTGCAGTGGGCAGGCTTGCTTGCAATCCTGAGGATGCTGACTGGGCATTCTTACCCTCTATAAGGATGAGTTGTGTAGTGCTCGAAAACTAATCATTCTAATCGGATTATGCATTAGAGATACAAAAATCTAGTCTGGGACCAAAGGAACACACCAAAATTCCACCGCATCATGTGAAATTAACTACTACTAACCTGAATAATTTAACTAGAGCATTAAGGATTAGCAGCTGCTGGGAGGATTAGTCTAATATTTGCATATTTCAGGACAATTGCAGAGAAATATATATCGTAAATAGTTGTCCCGGAAAGCAATTAGCTATTCAGGGTGATCTGATGCAAGAGTTCATAGGAATCCACTAGTAATGAGGCCAGAATATTCAGTGCATAATTAGGGCACAGTTCCACTATGCTTTATGACTGCATAGCTCAAATTAACTTCAGGGGGATTTATAGATTTTTATACCATGCAATCAGTGTATATGGTAATTTAATGAATTTCCTCATCAAAAGAAATAGGGAACAGCAGCACTCTAAGCAGTGCCGGTTGGCTTTGTCTGGCAGCTGTCTGACTTTCGCACAACGTTTGGATGTAGTATTGCTTTGGGGCGTTGTCTGGATTTATGGAAACCTGGGATAATTTGGAGCACTGGGCATGGAGCCCTGCCAAGGTGCTGGGGCCCAAGCAGAGCATCTTCTCGTGGGAGCAAAGCATGCAATTCCCTTCTGTCAAGACACAGGAGGCAGGAGATGTCTGTGGATTTAACCGGCCCTGACTTGTAAAGCGGAGAGTTGTCGTGGGCAGCAGCACGAGCAGGCAGCGTCACACACAGGCTTGTCCAAGCCAAGCAAGCACCGGTCTGAGACCAGCAACACCCCCTCCCGCCATGCATGCCTGCCCCATCGAGTGCTACTCAGTTGTTCCCTACCACTCCCACCCGGGGTGGTCAGTAAATTAAACGCTGGGGTGGGGTTTCCACTGAGCTCAGCTGCAAACGGGAAGCCACAGATATGGAAGGGGTGTCTTCCGGCTGGCCCAGCAGGCATGGCCTATGAGGCCCTCACTTGGGGAGCCGGTGGGAGCACCTGCCTTGGGAAGCAAATGGAGAGTGGCTGGTGGACTCCCGCACT